GACCATATTTCCCAGATAGCGTCTGCGTGTTTCTTCTAACATGCCACTGGATTTGTAAGCTCGTACTATACTTTGATAAATTACGTGTGTGATGTTTCACTGAAACAAAAATCGCACTCGTATTTAAAGTATTACGTCCTTCACAAACAATGACGATTAGGTAATAAAAATTTGTCTGTGTTTTATCTTCAGTACGCTATCGAACAATCCCATCGAAGTTATTGAGGAAAAAGCATTTCTTTCTCTTCCAGACCTTAAAGTATTGTAAGTATATGGACAGCACTCAAGGACGGTGAAGCACTTTTCAGAGCGATAGGGTGTAGAATATTTGAAATATATTATAAAAACTAATACGTATAATAACATACGTKCTATTTTCGTTTCAACAGGAATTTGCTTGACACTCAGCTGCGCATGCCGTTGGACGTTTTTCCGCTCCAAGTTGTGGCTCACTACACTATGTAATTTTTTACCCGTTATGCACGTTATGATAGTATTCAACAATTGACCTCCTCTGCTCTGACATAATGTTTTCCCATTTCAGACAACGTGTTATTCCCTAGAGTATCATTTCTTTGTTTAAGGTTTGCGCCCGGTTGTACATGAGAARACACATGAATATGGATACAACTCAAGCAAAGAATTTTATTCTCAAGAGAATGACACGTGGTCTGAAATGAGACAACATTACGCTCGAGCGCTCCAGAGCCGAGGAAGTCTATTAAAGATGTGATTTATGTCTCTTCAAGCACATTTTTCTCGGAAAAAGATTCCAAGCTCCAGGGGGGATTGGAGCTCGTGACCTTTAACAATTATTTGTTTATAGCTAATAGTTTAGACCTTCACCGTTSAGTCGCATGCAGATCCTAAGTGCCTTAGGCATAATGTTTTCCCATTTCAGACCACGTGTCGTTCTCTTGAGAATAAGATTCTTTGTTTGAGTTGTATCCATATTCATGTGTCTTCTCATGCACAACCGTTAAACAAAGAAATGATACTCTAGGGAATGACAAGGGGTCAGAATTGGACAAAACATTACGCTTAATGGCAAGGAGGTATATGTAGATAAGATTCCGGAAACGTACAGTAATACRTCCATGTACGCTTGAATAACATTTTATCTTTCAGATTCCAGAGTGTGAAAACAAACACTGATATGATTATACGACTGGAAGTTACATTAGGGCGCAACAAAGGGCTTGTGTACATCTTTCAGTCATTTGGATATGTTTGTGAGGAATTGGAATTGGAATTTAATGTGTGGCACTGCTCGGTCTGTAGCAGAGGAACATACAAGTCTCAAGAATTCATGTCTTGCATCTCGTGTCCACCAGGTACGACCCACAGTGACCGATTCTTCTGCTAATCATTAAGATAGACCACTCCTTGCAGCACGTCGGAATGCAGCTCAATTTGGAGGACATAACGATAGGTTTCCAATTCTCATGAGATTGAAATTACTTTGTTTTTTCCTCCAAATTGAGTTGCTTTGACGTCACATGCAAGGTGTCTATTGGGCGTAATTTTTTTTTTTTGTACTTCAGACCACCTGTCATTTTCTAGAGTATCATTTCTTTGTTTAACGGTTGCGCATGGGTAGACACATAAATATGGATACAACGCAAACAAAGAATCTCAATCCCAAGAGCATACTATCTAACAACCACTGGATGTATAAAGATACTCGCACTGTGGCTTTTACTAATGATTTCTTGGGAAGATTGTAGGATGGGTATAGGGATTTTAAGGTGAAAATAGTGCATTGTATCTTGAATAAGACCTTGTGTCCTACAGTCCCCTTCACAGTTCCCTGCGCCATCTTAAAAKGTAGACGTTCCTTTGATCGAAGCAAGACGACTGCTGATCGAGCTTGCAATGATCGAGACCTTTTTTAACACATTCAACAATACTCCCATTTAGAGTTCTCTTTGCTCARCCTTAGTCTCKTTTGTGCGTTAAAATATTCAGCTATTCAACCAAAWMCCGTGGCATTTTAATCAACTCGTATTGTGCCGTAGTRCGTACATTCCTTACTATACAATGGACCTTAATAAAACAAAAGAACACATTTGTACMCAATCGAGGCTAAGACTGAGTAAAGGCGAACTCTAAATGGGAGTATTGTTGAATGTGTTAAAAAAGGTCTTGAGTTCGTCTCGCTTCGAYGCAAAGTCACGGCTACTTTTAAAGATGGCGCAGGGAACTGTGAAAAGGACTATTGTTCAGATTGCGGCAAGATCACAAAAATATTCTTTTGTAGGAGGGTTCTATCAAGACGAGATGGGTTACATGGGAGAGAAGATATACGGGCTTGGGTGCAAACAATGCCCGCCTGGTTCGTACGTTAAGCCTGACAGAGCACCAGGAAAATCACAGACTGACTGTCAATCATGTCCCATRGGTGAATAGTAAACTATATATGTATAACATATAGAAGCAAAGGAACTGATTAAATTAATTAACGAATGTGATAATTCCTTCAAATTTTAAATTCTATCGTAGTCAGTTACTTGGGGCTGATCAAAGTCGGGGCACAGCTAACTTACAGATCAAATCAAAATGAGAAAAGGTTTTTTTCGGGGGGAGGGGGGGGGGACCGGAAACCCCATAGAAAATACCTCAAATCAAGGGAGAGACCTAACAGACTCTACTTACATGTGATGCCCAGTCCAAGAGCCAAACGCGAGAACCCAAAGGTAAGAAGCGAGAGCAATACCGCGAAGCAACCAATGATTCACAAAAATGAATCTTATCCAGAAATATCCTCTTGGTCTTGGAATACCTTGGCATACACTCCGAGTATAGGRAACGAATGATCCCAGTAATGGGCCCTTGATCTGGAAATACCTTTTGCACACACTCCCAGGATAGGGCAAGAATGGTCCCAGTATAATGKGCTATTGATCTGGGAATAATTTCGCTCACATTCCCATTTTAAGGCAAGAATGGTCCTAGTAATGAGCTCTTTTTCTAGGAATACATTGAACCACAAATCCAATACATAGTACCAATGTTCCTAYGATCTGGAATTATCCTCCCATTATGGGAAATGGATTTCCTAGGAATAAAATGCTATATTGACCTAGAAATATGTTGAATCGCACACCTACTATGGACTAACTACAAGATGGATGCCCCTCGTATTGCATGAGTTGGTGTCCCCCACGAAAGGCACAGCTCCGCACACCATAACCCAGTACTAAAACCTTCTAAGTCTAGTTCTTAATCTTGTTTTATTTCCCGCAGGAACAAACCTCAAAGCATTTGCTAAGTTTCGTGCTTGCAGCTGCTTGCAAGATTATTACCGTCTTGATCGATTTGGACCTTGTGTCACATGCACAAAAGGTTACGTGTGTTCAAATGAGACTGTGGATTTGGAAGCTGGTTTTTATTGGGTCTGGAAATCCAAGGAATCTCAGATAGATTACGAGGCTTTCAAAAAAGACTTGAACGATTCCTCTGATAAATCTGGGAAAAGGTCGTTTGAAGGTGTTATCCCAATCGCCTATGCTTGTCCGAATGGAGAATCTTGTCTTGGTGGAACTCACTCTAGTTGTCAAGCTGGTTACACTGGACCACTTTGCGCTGTTTGTGATGCTGGATATTTCACCAGTATGGCAAAATGTCGGAAATGCCCAACTCTCCCCTGGATTGTTACCCAAATAGTCGTGACACTTTTTGCAATGGCCGTTCTTATTGCAGTTGTCCTGTGGGAAAAGAAGAAGGAAGCAAAAACGTTGTCCAGGTCATTAGCTGACATCTTCCTTGCAAGGCTCAAAATCGTGATTGGATTCTACCAAGTTTCATCCAGCATTTTTGATGCGTTTTCATACATCAAATGGCCTGCTCCGATACTCACAATGATGACCTATGCAAAATTAGCACAGCTYAACTTGCTGCAAATCGTTCCACTGAACTGTGTCAATAATTCAGTYAAGGTCGACGCGTACACTCGATTTTCGATTGCTACCGTCACTACATCACTTGTTATCTTTGCAGGTGTCCTTTTCAATTCTTTTGTAAATTATTCTCCAAAGAAAAAGAGCACACGTACAGCAATCAATAAGGAGAAGGCACTTCWTTACAAAGAGAAGTCCTACCGCCTCATGTTCTTGATCCTCTTTATTACGTTTCCATCAACCTGCACTCAAGTGATGCAAATACTACCTGCAGCCTGCCACAAGATTTGTTCACACGATGATCAGAATTGCAACTCTTATCTAAAAGGAGACTATTCGGTGCAGTGTAGCACATCAAAGCACGATGTATATGGCTCTTTAAGYACAGCATCCAYTTGCTACTGCATTGGCTTTCCATTGCTCCTYTTCTTGATCATGAARCACGGCCAAAGAAATCAAAAGCTTATTGCAMCATCGTCACCCAACAACACCGTCATGTTCAATTCAATAAGATTTCTCTATGAAAACTACTCTCCAAGCTGTTGGTTTTGGGAAATTCTAGAGCTGGTGCGAAAAGTGTTCTTTACYTCCATGCTGGTATTGATGGACTCAGAAAGTCGGTTAAGCTTGGGTCTGAACGCTATCTTATCAGGAATGTACTCTATCTTCTTCGCCCTCTGGAAGCCCGTTGAAGATACCTTCGAGTACTGGCTACAGTTAGTATCTCTGCTCGTAACGTCTGTGAATTTTACAGTTGGTATGTTGCTGAAGATCCCTCAAGACGAAACGTCGTCGAGCGTGAGCGGAGGGTTCGACTCGCTTGCAGTGACCATTCTGTTGACTGCAGCTAATGCCGCAGTTATATTCATCATTGCAGGTAAACGTAATTATCTTTTAGACCTATTTCAAAGCATTTTGTCATCGCCAAAGGCGATAGGCAATAGGAGATAGGTCATTCCAAGATCMAAGAATAGCTGAAATAACTTGTGTTTCTGCTTCTTATTCTCGTCAAGAACATGGACCTTAGTGCTGAGACTGATTCGATGTTCTTTGTATTCAACGAAACCATTTCCATGTCGGAATGACTTATTGCCGGCCTATCGCCTTTGGCGATGACAAAAATCTTTGAAATACAGTAGGTGTAGACTTGAGGAWGTTGTGGAGTAGAAAAACGAGTGTAATACCTGTAATTGGTTGACAAGTGATTTTACTTCACAAAGGGRACATTCCTTATACTAAAAGCACGCCACATTGTCGTTCAATTCAGTAGGAATTCTTTAAAGATCGATTGGAAAGCATTGTTTCCAAAAAAACGTTCKTACTCTTAACTGAGGCAAGGAAGCTGKAAGCTGTTTGAGTTAGACTCAAAAKGGATTCAGTTTTATCTCCAAAGTTCAGTGGAATGCACCTTTTGAATTAACCTCGATAATACATTTTCTAATTATAGTGAAGTACATAACAACCCTTGTGAAGACCTTGATACAGTTGAAGAAAGAGCCACAATGTAACATCACATGCTGCCTTGAGGTGTTCCAGTTGGTGAGCGATGCACACGGAGACGTGTCGGGAATATGTACAGAGCCCAAAATGGCATCAGGACTGATTGGTAGTAACGAGCAGCAAGGTATAAGTAACATACCAGAAGATGCAGCATTTGAGCTCCAAGAAAGGGATGATGACTCCAACGAAGACAGGAAGAAGGCACCAGGACTGATTGGTAGTAAAGAGCAGCAAGGTATAAGTAACATACCAGAAGATGCAACATTTGAGCTTCAGGAAAGAGATAGCGATAATGACACCAGATAAAGAGAAAAAGAAAAACTGGAACGCTTAGTGAACGAATGATACTTAAATATTAGATCTCTTTACYTTGGGCGTAGAATTTCCTATTTCAGACCATGTGTCATTCTCTAGAGTATCATTTCTTTGTTTATCATGCTTGGCGCATAATCATGAGAAGACGCATGAATATGAATACAGTTCAAACAAGGTTGACAAATGGTTTGAAATGCAAAAACTTTAAGCCTGAGCTAAACGTTTCTGATTGGGTCTATGAATTTATTTCATTATGTAAGCACAATTCATTGGTCCTGTAATCAAGCATTGTTGAATCTGAGTCAACAGAGCCAGCTGAGTTGACTGCATTTCCTTAATGGGATTATGGCTCAACTATTTTTGGTTACCATTTTCCTAGCAGGGGCTGAGTAYGATGTASATTTCTCGTGTTGAAAGAATTAAATTTCCTCTAAGAGTTCAACTAGTTGCATTTACGATGAATTTAAAAAAAGGAGAAATTCATATTTCATAGGTTGTCTTGACAGAATCATGGGAATCATGGGAAATGCTAATCAAAATGCAATGTTGAATCCTCAATTCTCAWTGGTTGACCTTGAGGTTGTTCTGAAGGTCAACTCAGCTGGAAWGAAAATTGTTGGAGTATGATCGTTTTGATCATATTTACTAAACTTTCATTATAAATATATATACTACCCTATTATAGTTATTACACTTTCAAATCTAAGACCTTACATTTTTGAAGGTTCTTCATTATTGTCTCTATGTATCTTGTAATGTTTCAAATACAAGTTGCTGTATTCTGTTGGGGTTTCGAAATCCRAGTGGAATTTCAAATGCCGAGGCATAGCCGACACGACATCTTATACTCTTTTTGTTATGTTTGTTTTTATTTCAAAGTTCTAGTACTTTGAAACATTTCAAAGTCTGAGTAGTAGGACTTTGAAATATTTCAAAGTACTAGAACTTTGAAATGGGTGCGGTCGTATTTGATGGGGGTTTTAAACTACTGCACGTGTTACAAATAAGAAACCCTGGTTGGTTGATGAGCTCATGAATTATTAATGAGTATAAGATGTATATATCACAACACCATATATACACCCATTCAGTTTCAGTTTGGGCATCATATTTCTCATTTCAAGCCATATGTCATTCCCTAGAGTATCATTTATTTGTTTAACATTTGTACAGTCATAAGACTACACTTGAATATAGATATAAATTAAAGTGTATATGACAAGAAAACATTTCATCGTTTAAAGTGTATAGTTTGTTAGTAATAATAAATATATCGTAATGAAATTTGAACCAAAAGCTTATTTCTTGAGATATGTGAGAAAATTAATATCAATTTGTGATGTCATTTTGTTGACACGTACTCTAGATTCAGTAGTAATGCACAAAATATAGATTGTAATTCGTATAAAATAACAACAAAGGGCATATTTTATTCAATTTCATTTGATAGCTTACGTAGTACTCTTCAAATGTTGGGAAACTGAAARGTGCACTACCTGAAATTAAGATTCCACATTCAAACATATTTCGTGTATTTGCAACTAAATCTGGAGACTTGTAAACAAAATGACGTCACAACTTGTGCTAAATTTTCTTGAATTTCTAGAGAAATACGCTTTTGAAACAAATTTAACCATGATATTTTCATTAATGCCAATAAAATACACATTTTTAACATTAAGATTTTTTCATGTCATATGCACTTTAAAGAAAGAATCTTATTTTCAAGAGAATGACAAGTGATCTGAAATGGGAAAACATTATGCCTATACTGTGAGAGTCTATTTATTTCTCATAGCTTTGATCTGTAAGAATGTTAGTGCTCTCATAGCCCACTTGATGTGTTGACAMAAGGTTTGGTTTACCAACACATCCAGGGCATATTTTGTGAAACAAGAATCTCAATTTTGTTYGAAACTTCTCTGTGAAGATGCAAAAGATTATGAAGTTGGCAAAGCCTTGGCTGCTGTCACCAATGCCCTGCAAGAGAACATATACTTCATCATCACCATTATAAAATAACTGTTATGAATGTCGCGTTCTGATTGGTTTGGAA